TTTTAAGTTGTTTGGAAATTTGCTGGATAGGGATAGTAGTAAATCAGATCAGATTCATTTATATGCTTGGGCGATGTTTAGACGACCTGTGTCAGATTATACATGATTGTTTGTCGCATTCATAAATATATTTTTATATCGTAGTTTGCTGCGCATCTAGTACCATTGATTTGACTTTGTTTTTAGCCTAAGCATAGCATTGACAGTCTAAGTTTAAGAATCGATTATTCTATATATTGAGGACTCACCAGAAACCTTATTGGATTCTAATTCGATGTTCAGACGAAAAATTATTATATTATATATAAACTTAATTGATGCAAAATAACGATGCTTTAACTTCAACTTCGACAAAGCTATTTAGTTGTTATACAACCCGTGCAAGTAGATTTTGTTTTACTATAGTTTAGTTTTTTTTTTTACACCATTACTAATTGATTGTATCGTATAAATTGCGCCAAATTATGAGCACCATAACGACAGCAACAACATCCAGCCAACATAGCAACACCAACTTCAATGAATGGATTTTACCTCAAGCATCGTTGGGTGGCACTTCGTTGGATATGGCATGCCACATGCGCCCGTATGAATGCGCTCTTCTTTCATATGAATAAGAACAAATTGGTGTGCGGAATCGTTTTCGCGCTCAAGTGGGCTTGGCATATTGAGTTATTAAGCGCGAAAGCACAGCTTTATATACATACACATATATGTGCATACACATTCTTATGTATATAGCGGTATGTATATAAATGTAGTATATATGATATGAAATCAAATGCCTGCAGTTATATGTTATATTTTCACTTTACTGCTTTTGCCAATATTCCCATTACAGAAAGTGGTGTAATATGAGGTGACTAAACGGTATGTGAACAAGTTAAACGCGTTTTCCAGACAGCTTATACTTCTTGCCACACTTTTGAGCATATTCGAATGGGCCGACTTTAAATATGAAGAAATGAGGCAACAGGCTTTCATTGTTCATTGCTATTTTTGTTTAATATTGATATTTAATTTTTTATTAATAATTTTTTTTTTGTTTTATAATTTCTAACTATATTTCATTTTTAGCGGCAAAATAATACACAAGCATTTCATTTTAAGCATTCTTAATCTATTTTCATGTATTTGAAGTTGAAATGTGTTACATAAATCGCTGCTATCGAACATTTGGTGAAGCGGTGTCAAGCTCGCTGGTCCGCCTCTGCGGTCTGGCACTCTGCGGTTTTTCAAATCCACATTTATTAATAACAAACAAAAAATACCCAAAAATCGATTTTCTTTCAAAGACTCATAATTTTCGAATTTTTTATGATTTCTCCTTCGTTTTAGTACCACAAATGGGAAAAAGTGTACAAATTAAGACGATATTTCTGTTGGCGGCTCAGATTTTATTTACAAACGGCAGAACTTCCACCATGAGGACGAGTCGTCAACCATTGTTCGTTACTCCCCTTTCCCCTTTACTTGGTGCACCAAAATAAAATTGTAAAGCTTCAATAAACTTTTTACGATATCCTTTTACCTATTATATTACTTTGCGAAGAAAAAATTTCAGAAAAACAACAGTTTATCGTGCTAACAAACACACACTTATTTCATACACGTATTACAATTTTGGGCTTATTGCCAGAAAAACGATACAAAATAATTGAATTAATTGAAATTATTTATCAAGTAAAAACAAAATTTACTGATAACTTACACTATGCTTTTTATGCAAAAAAAAACACAAATTTGTACTGAAAGCAGTATGCATATTATTATGCGAATAATTGCAGATAAGTATATAAGTTTAATACCCGGTAGTAAAAATTTGTCTGTGGATTACTTTTCTTGAAGTGTAGCTTACATAAATTATTGAACCCATTTTCTAATTATAGTTTCTAGTTATAGTAAACTAGTGTTATTGTAAAATAGTTAATTTGGTTAATTTAAAAATTTTTAAAACACTTTTGGGTAAAGAAATTATTATTTATGTTTCAGTGAAGTAAATGTTTTTATTGTAAAACATCTTGGCTGGAACACTATTATGAGTATCAGGTATAGTTTATGTTATATTTGCTTATTATTTCTATAGATATTTATAATGAAACTTTCTTTCTAAACATCATTTCATCCATTTATAGCATAAAATACTCAACTACATGCTTCTATCAACTAGCTATAAGGATGTAAAACGTATTTTTATTTTGCAATGTAAGTAACAGTTATATCTAGTTTGGCTTTATAAAGGTTATGCCAGAAATTGCTAATGCATCAGTTTTCAGCTTTTTCTACTTCCAATAATTCACTTAGCTCTACTGAAAAGTATATCACAACAAAATGCCAGGCCTCCTAATGCCCATTTTTATTTATACTGCTACATTACCATCCTAAATAATTATTAAGCTAAATCTTGAGACAACCCAATTCGCTATTGGGACTGCGAAGCGTTATTATCCACTGTTTTTATATTTGACCCTTGTCTACAATTGTTATTGTGAGGCCTGGCAGCATGCTTGCTCGCGCTAAACAACCAACTTCACACATCGTCTATGCAATAACGCGATTTTAATTGTTGTGGATAAATGAAATATGTTCGCAGTTTGAAAAATTAATGAGGCAATGGCTGCACAGCAAATAAACGTAATTAATTATAAGCGATAAAAAGTTGTGAAAATGTACAACAACTGCCACTGAGGGGTGGTCACATTGTAGTATTCATTCGGGAAATTGGCAATGATTTAAGCGCAGCACGCGGCATGCTATGAATGTAGCAAGCATTTAGTCTAATGAGATATTATGGTACACAAGTGTACATCTGCAATTGCGTTTATTAATATTTATGTATTGCAATCTTCTGAATTTAGTAAGACTGAGTGATTTAAAAATTCTCTTTGTGGTCTATTATAAAATAATAAATATTTTAAATTATTTATTATGTAAAGAAAAGTACTTCAGTGTAAACGGTTAGGTTTACGAAAAACCGTAAGACACCATTTTGTAGAACTTTCAATTTTTCCTACAAAATCCATAAAACGAAATATGCTTTAAAGTAGTAGGAAGCGAGATATGAATTTTTCTATCTGATAATAAGATAAAAATAGAAAACCGTTAGGCGGCGGAACTTCCATTAAAATTAAGAGCTCATACTTGGAGAGTGCACCTCTTAGAGGTGTCTATTGACCAATTTTTCAAAGCACGAAACGAAACAAAAAGATTCTTTTTTTTTACCCACCCTAATACTTATATTTTCATTTATATCTTAACCGTTATACCGACAAATGCGTACTTGAACGAGAACATATTTATTGCTAAAATAATTGTTCTATAAAATTACGTGCTCATGTAAACGATCTCATAAAGTTGCACTTACTATACCTACCAAATTATTATCTTCACCTATTATATTCATTTGGTCTAATTTTTACGAAATTTCACTTGACATAGTTCATATTAATTTGAAATACTTAAAATTACATAACTCATTTGTGTCAATATTGGCGTAATTAATTTGCACATTAATTGCATTTAAATTAAGTGTTTATTTTTGCATACATATACACCTGAATCACTCAATAGACTGTTAGACCTTGACAGCTGAAATTCAAATCATTCATCGCTGTGGTAAAACATACATAATGAAAGAGTATTTCATTAAAGCGAGGTTTAGAAATTAATTTACCGGTGAGATTATGTTGACGTGGCAATATAATATATTCAATCTATCTCTCAGGTTATTATGAGTGAGCGGAGAAAAGTCATATTCGTGCTAAGTATGGATTATATCGTGAAAAGCAAAAGAATTTTGATTTTTATATAAAGAAAATAAAAAAGAGACAAAATCTCGAAATTTCATAATATATTGTAGTTGACAGTGAACAACAGAAAAATTTTTCTAAGCTTAAATGCGGCCTATCTGTTGCAATTCTGAGTTTAAATTTATGTTAAGAGGAATTCAAAGAAAACATATTTATATTGCCTCATGATATATCATACATATATCGTATCATATTTCACTTCTAGATTGCATTCTGGAAATACCTGGGTTTTGCTTTTTACATTTACTATTCCCTTTCCCGCTTAGTTCAAAATTTTTACTGATTATCGTTGCTTTACAAATTTAATTTCGACCACCTGAATCATGTTACCTGTTTATTTCAAAGATCTCTGTACGAGAAAATGTCTACAAATGTCTAAATGTCTGCTCTTTGAATCGATCCAATAATAATTACGCTATGTTATTTGATATTATGTTATATTAAAACTAAAAATTTTGGAAATTAAATTTTTTCATATTGCGACATCTTAGGTAATCGATAATAACTTACACAAAGAATTTTTACAAAATTCAAATTATCTTCAATTTTATAGCGGTTTTCGTGTCGTATTAACTAAGGGTACAATTCAGTCAATTTGTATTGGGTTTTAGATTATCAAGTTTCTCTCTGTTGTTGTTGTTGTAGCGACAGAATTCTGCCGAGTTGACAGTCCTTGGCCGGAATAAATCCGGGTCCGTTCCGGTTACGTAGACCCGACTGTCGTGGGAACGATCAAGTTTCTCTCTTTAACTGTTCGGTTATAAATGCGACTATAACTTCGTAGATCTTCTATAAGAGGTAGTAAAAATTTAAAATTTTTTATTTATTAAAATCGCAAAATGATTACTAAAGCAACTTTCACAACTTTCGCAACTTTTGTTTTATTGTAAAGCATTTTCATTACTCACTCAAGTTGCCGCAACATTTTGCGCGCAACTTATTGCCCATTTGAATATGCACGCACTCAATGTATTGTATATAGGATGGCTAACGAAACTTCTTGAAGCTCAAAAGCGAGCAACATTTACGGCTTTCCAACAGCAGCATACTCAAACCACCCATCGGGGTTAACGCTTCGTCCAACCGGCTCGCTTCGTACAGGTGTGGTGAGTTTCCATTCGTAAGCACTCACATGCGTATGCGGAGCATTTAGCTTTGCTTAGCATTGGCATTTGAGCCTAAACGACGGTTAGTTTCGTAGTGACCGCCGTTAAATATAGTTTAGCTTTGTGGGAGAAGTTCGGTAGCTCGTGTTTGTGTGCGCTGACTACAATATTGTAGTATTGGAGAGCAGTTCATATTTCAAATATTAATTTGTGAATAAATATATATATTTGTATGTAAAAAAAAATATTAAAAAAAAGTGTTTCCAGTGAAAGTGAAATGAAAAAGTGTTAAAAAATTTGAGGCAGCTAGCAAAACAAAAGATATATTGGCTGCCGATAAGTGTACGGCTGATCCTGAACTAAGTGCTTTGAGTACAATAGTTCAAATTGTAAGAAAATCTGTGAAACATCGGCGTTTCAATTGCCTGAATTACAAATAAATAAATAAAATTCCACAGCCCACTTTCTACACCGTCGCCTGCCTTGCTTTGTCCCCATTCACGTGCCGTTGCACACTCAAACAAACATACACACTCACAAATAAACGCATGCATACGTCAGACGCTTCCACCTACTTCGAAACTACTCGCTGAGTGTCACTTGGCGTCTCAAGCCGTTACGTCTGGCCGTGCTGTGCATTGTGTCGGGTCGTGCTGCATTTAGTCTGCCGCCGCGTGTGTGTCCTTGCGTCGCGCCACTTTGCCACTGTGGTGCATTCATTATTCTTACAAATTTATTTATTGTGTGAATTCTACATGCCACCTGAAACGCCCATTAACCCATCACCGCACATATTGCAACACCGACAGTTAGTCTGTTTTCGGTTTTGTTTTGCTCACAATTTTTGTTGCTTAGTCCGTTAGGTGTTTGCAGATTGCATAAACACAGTCATGCGGCATGCCATTGCGGGCTGACAGTAATTCGCAAGTGTCGCGTAAATCCGTGGCAAGGCCAAACAACAGCAATAAAAACAACAGTATTAGTTGTGTAGCCGCCGCAATAACGCCGACACAAAGTCTAAAGTTGCGTGGAGCATGTGCTCGGGTATATTCGTGTGTGTGTGTGTGTTGTTGTTGTGTGCACGGGAAGTGAAAGCCGGAAAAGGAAGTGCAGTGAAAGTGTATTTTATTCGCTTGTGAAAATAAGTAAATGTGCGCCCCATATATAATCATAGTACAAGTAACCCACGGAAATAACAGTGCAAAAAGCATAAGCAACAACAACGGCCCTACATTATCCTACCATTTATTAATTTTTACCATCTTCTTTATCTATGGTTCACCATAAGAGCTCATTGTTAAAAGTGCAATAAAACGGTAGGCATAAAAGAACTCACGAGAAGTAGTGGAAATCCTGCAAAAGGAATTCACTAGAAATATTTTTTCATCCTCTTCTAAAACAAAGCCGTTAAAGATGTGAAAAATTTTCAACTAGATAGTCTTCACTCGCAATAAAGCTGGCAGTGTGTGCAAAGCATAAAAATTAAAAGTTAATTCTAAGGCAAAAAAAATAAAAAAGTTGTACCCGGAAAGTTGATGTGTTAAAGATAGCAGTGTGTCGCTTCCTAACGGAACTATTAAGTAAAACTTAAGGAAAAGCACGCCTTTCTATTTTATCGCAGTGCAAGTGTTATAAAATAGTGCATGGATTAACTCAATATTGTCGCTCTTTTGCACTTAATCTTGGATACATAATCTTCTTTAACTATTGGCGATGTAAGTTTAAACGAAATTAAAAGTATTAAAAAAAAAACACATTAACTTCGGTTGCACCGAAGCTTTAATACCCTTCACAAATAGATTCCTTACAAGAACTTGATTTCGCCTTAGACAATAATCCATGTCAAATTTCTTGAAGATACCCCGTCAAGTGAAAGAATTATCCATACAAGCACTTGATTCTGATCGTTCAGTTTGTATAGCAGCTATATGCTATAGTGGTCCGATATCGGCCGTTCCGACAAATGAGCAGCTTTTTAGTGAGGAACAGGCAGGTGCACAATATCAGATCGATAGCTTAAAAACTGATTGACTTGTTTGTATATATACAGACAGACGGACAGACAGACAGACGGACATGGCTAAATCAACTCAGCTCATCGTGCTGATCATTTATATATATATTTTATAGGGTCTACGACGTTTCCTTCTGGGTGCTACAAACTTTATGGCAAACTTAATATACCCTATTCAGAGTATAAAAGTAAAATATGTATAAATTATGAATACTTCGACAGTTATTCAGCGACTTTTAGCATTCCATCATGGCATACTAAATATCTTGAATCTAAATATTATATATGCAAGTTTGGGCGCAGTTTTGGATCAATTATTTGAAATTTCCAAGCAATGAGTTTACTTAAGGGCAAAGCTCAAAAATTTCCCCTTACTAAGAAAAGCATTCTTGAACAAAAGTATTGTGAAAAGGCTATCGAAATGTGAGAGTCTCTTAAAGGGCTTGCTGAAAGTAGAGTAATGAAATTTTCTTTGTACCTTCTATCTCTTATTCTTCCTCAGTAGATATATGAATATATGATTCATTTCTAGACCACCGGATACGATTTTTAAAAATGTCTTCAAAATACTTTAGTAACAAAAATTGAACTGGAAACTACTCCGGCTAAAAATAAGTGAAGTAATTTAGTGCAATTATTACCATTCAATACTTATTAAATTAAAATTTTTTTTTTTAATTTCCAAACATATTAATTGACGAAAAATTTGTTTTATAACCTGACGGTATAACGGTATTACTCGTTTTCAAAAAAGTGTTTATAAGTGGTACAAGCGCTTTGCAGAAGGCCGAGGAAATGTTGATGACGATGATCATCCTGGAAGTGCGACCAAGTCAACAAGAGAAGAAAACATCGAAGCAGTGAAACAAATTGTTCTTTAAAATCGTCGAATCACTCTTAAGGAAGTTGCAAAGGATGTTGGCATATCAATCAGCTAATATTGATGAATAAATAAGTACTTTAAAAAAAAAAATAAAAATTTACCTTTTCCTTTGAACACACCTCTTATACCTTATTATGAGATCGGAAGACTTATCATGAGAAGGAAGACTTTGAGAAAAAAGGAACGAAACGAGAACGAAAAGATCGTTCAATATATATGTAAATTTTTTTTTTTTATAATGTTGATAATATAGATTCCCATCATAATTTTCAATACAGTTTAATATATATTTTCCAGTTATAAATCCTACTAGACAACTTTGCTCTTACTGTTCTCTATAAGATTATTGACAGAACTCAAACTAGGGAGCGAAAAAACGGCTAATACCAAACTTGGAAATTTTAGTTGTTAGAGCTTTTCCTAAATATTTTAAAAAAACCAACAAATTTAACGGAATACTTAGCAATGTTTGTCGGCCTATTAATAACTTAACTAACCTGCTTTCTTTTGTAAATCGCTACACTATTTCCTTTGTTTACTTTCACGCTTTTTCCATCCTTTCGGTTAACATACATTTTTTGATCTTCTGATCCGGCAGCTGATTGTAATAACATATACATTAGGGTGCAGCGAAACAAATTTTTTTTGTTTTTTTTAGCCTGAGGGTAAAATTTATAGATTATAAAAACAGAAAATTTTTGGAAAAAATAAATTTTCTTAACGTCTAGAGGCGGCCCACTCACTTTTAAAGTAAAGTTTCGAGTTAAAATTTTTGATAAGTGTCTTAGAAGCTGTGGAGAGTCTGGCTAATTAAAAGTTATCAACTTAAAAAAAAATTTTAAGGCCATTATTGGAGTTTTAAAAAAAGTCTTAGACGACAACATGCTGTCCTTTTGCGTTTATATAAAATTTGAGTCAAAAACCGCCAAATTCGGCAATTTTTATATAAATGTGAAGAGTTTAAACCCAAAAACAAAAATATTTTAAATAATTAACTCGAAATTTATTTATTATAATCTACTAATTTTACCCTCACGTTAAACAAAACAAAAAAAAAAATTTTCGCTCCACCCTAATATACATACATAAACACATAATGAAACGTTAGGCGAGCAAAAATTCAAAACTGACCACTGTTTGGATTGATGCAGCAGTGCGGTTTATTGTTAACACTGAACGTATGTGACAACTCCTATGCCAAAATACAATTGCAACACGAAAATTTAATTGAAAAAGTTTATGTATTGGAAAACATGTAATTTTCATTGCACACATTGTAACGCTGAAATACTTATTTCTATTAAAATTCAAAAATTGACGGAATTATTGTAGTGCATGGTAACGTTTGATGTGTTCGATAAAAGGACTCTAATTGCAACTAGTTCTCAGATTTTCACAATTTTCGGGGATATTAAGTAATGCACCGCCTCGAGTCCATCGACCGCCCCAAGGTGCACGCGATTTAAAGCGTATTTTTGTTTTCTTTCCGCATATCCCTGATTTTCGTTTTTATTCTCCTTGTTTTGTTAACCCTCTGCCACTGATTTGTCTTTCGCGCTTCTATTTGTTTTATTTACTTAGTAATTCAAAAATGTTTAAAAGTTTTCGCCACGGCAAAGTGAATTAAACTAGTTAAATTTGCTTCCGTGTGCTGTAGCACTTCAAAGTTCGCTTGTTGCTGAGGTGCGCGCAACGACTAGTCAGAAACTTCTTAGTCTTTCTATCCAAAGTTGTATTTGTATAGAAATTTCCAGATTGGTAAGGAGCAAATGGAATTTTACTCGAGCGAAAATGAGAAAATTTCCGTTAGTCCAATTAGAATGCAATGAGCTGGATTTGTTGCGAATTTGGGTGCAGCGCATAAAGCAATTAATCAACTGGGCACTTCCGCGTACCAACGTATGTGTAACTTTTCTGTGAACCTCGAATTTAGCTTTCAACTTCCGCAAAAGTTAATCTTAAATTGTAATCTCTTCGTACAAACTGCAATGAAAACCAATTTTAGCTTCAGCTTTCTCAGAGGTTTTTAATTTGTGATTGCATTTTCCTCTTCTATTGAAAGATAGATCATATATCTAAATCTGAATACCTTTGCCTTTTATTGCCACTAAACTAGAAAATTTATATCATTTAAAGTATTTGGCTTCTCTATCAAGTGCCATGTCTAAACAGAATTCTGACCGAAGTCGTTTGAATATTCTGAAATACAAATTATCTTTTTTAGTTAGATATTCTATATACATAAAAAATCCATTATATGTCTTGAATGACATAAAATTTCTGATTTAATAGTGATAGATCTTAATCGACGGCTTAAAGCTGATTGAGAAGCTTTGTAGAACAACTTAGCCGTTTTAAGCCAATAAGGTACCAAACGACCAGCAGACTCCCTCCTTTGAAGTTGTATACTAGAAATCAAGCTCAATTTAGATCTTCAGCACAATGAATGATTTGTATCGGAATTGTACTCGGCGGATAGTAATGTGCCGGGTCACTATAAGCTACCAGAAGGTAAGATAAGAAGCTTATTTCTTGTGTGTATAGCATTGCGAAGTCCCTGTGACTATATATTGTCTCTTGGATAGATGAGCGTTTAACTATGGCGGCGAATACCAGACCAAAGCAAATAATGTAAATGTGAGATAGCGGTAGAGGTTGGGTAAAGCTGTCTGTCGAGTGTTAGAGGTGTTAAAAATTTTAGAGTTCTCTCTTCAATCGGTTTTTGAAGTGTTTCAGATTATTAGGCATTTTCTTCAGCAACATTTACAAAAATTTGGTTGGAAGTGGTAAATGTTTGGATGAAAGGGAAATATGGATTTTTCGATTTACATGCAGAGAAGACAAAGTCATATAGTACATATATAGGTATGTGGCATAAAAAATATGTTTATACATATATAGGAAACTATCTTGTATAAAATTTAGCTGTTAAGACCAATGCTACTTCTGCAGCAAAACCTTTTTCAGAGTTGCCACATTCGCTTGCTAAAAATGCTGATTTGTTACGAAGTGATCTATGCTGCTTGCCAATTCTTAGCACTTTTACTTTATTTGAATAAATATCACTTAATTATTATTTTTTTTGTAGCAATGGCAACTCTACACAACACATCCTTTTAGCACGATCATCAATAGCAGCGTGTCAGAACTTGCGAATGCACGCAAAGATTTATTTCAAGCTCAAGGATAAAGTTGCTGCAAACACACTTGCTCACATCCAGACACTATTTTTACACACACAAGTGCATATAAGCCTTTTTATGATTATAGAGCGATATATTTGTATGGTGAATACGTGTGGCTCCTTACAAGCCACTCGAACGAAATCAAAGTGTGTCACAGCTACTAACTTTTACATGTTTTAATTTTCGCTTTTTTATCGTTCTGTTACATCTTCTTGCCGCCGCAGCTGCAGCTTATGTTGTTGCTATGTCGGTGTTCTTGCTACTTGCAGCCGTCTGGCAATAATCGTGCATTTCATTCTATCGTTTTTCTTGCATTCGTCGCTGCACTTTTTCACGTTGCCATTTTCTACCCGGCTTTCTTAATATTTTCAAATATATATATGTATGTGTGTACATGTCTATTGCATCTTCAATAGAATACCATACGCGTTTTCTAGTTCAATGCAATTTTACGCGCGTGGGTTGCAAGTTCGTAAAACAATATATTGGAAAACTTTTGACGCATTTTGTTGTTGTTGTTGGCTAATTAATTTCACGACATTTTGGTTGTTAACACATTGTTGTGTTTTTCTTTTCCTCTTTTCTTACTTCTACCGCCTTTTCAAATCGCATAAACTTCAGCTTACATACTTG